AATAAACTATGGTCAGTTCTTAATGTAAATAATTTTCCGTAAAGGTAATGTCAAAATTGCTTAATGAAGTAAACAACAGCCAACAATTCTCATTTTGTGACGCTATAGTTCTTTTCACTCTAAGACAATTTCTGACTCGCATAACAGATTACCTTTTCCTGTCCATTTTTAATTTGTGAAAGGACAGCACCAATACCATCTCCAGTGGCATCTGTGTCTAACAAAATGGCAAAGACAAATCTGGTAAAGTCAAATTTGTGCAGTCATTAGTTTTCCTTTAGCATTTGAAATGAATGTTCACATTCAAGTGTCCATTTAAATTCAACATTCTTTTGAGTAAGTTGATACAGAGGAGCTGCAATATTTACCAAAGTTTTTAATGATCCTTCTATAATAGGAACACAATCCTAAAAAAGTTTGAAGCTCCTTCACATTCTTTGGAGTAGACCACTCAGCAACTCTTTTAGCTTTTTGGAGATCAGTGGCTACACCTGCTTTTGACACAATATAACCAAGATAAGTAACTTCTTGTCAAAAAGGAACACTTTTGGGGCTTTAATTTTAAACCTGCACCAGCAATTTGTTGAAAAACTTTTTCCAAACATTCTACATGTTCTTCAAATGTATGGGAAAAATAAGGATATCATCCAAATATATAAGGCACGCTTTCCAATGAAGACCTTGGACAGCTAATTTCATTAATCCTTCAAATGTGCCGGGAGCATTACTCAGACCAAACGGCATATGATTAAACTCGTACAACCCAGTTCCAGTTCTAAAAGCATTTTTTTCCTTATGATCGGGATTAACTTCAACTTGCCAATAGCCACTCATTAGATCAAGTGATGAAAACCAACATGAACCTGTAAGGGCATCTAGACTATTGTCAATCCTTGGCAGAGGATAGGCATCTTTTGATGTGACAGAATTCAGTTTTCTTTAGTCAACACAAAAATGTGTAGATCTGCCGTTTTTCTTTACAAGGACCACAGGACTACACCAAGGGCTGTTCGAAGGTGAAATTACTCCCATTTCTAACATGTTTTCTATGCATTGTTCTAGTTCTTGTTTCTGGTGGTATGGTAACTATCTAGTTGGTTGTTTACAAGGCTTAACATTACCGGTGTCAATATTATGATACACTTCTTTTGTTAGACCAAAATCCCCATCTTTAGAAAATACATACTTATACTAAGACACCAAACATTTCACTTCACTAACCTGTTATTCATCAAGCCCTTCCGACCTTTTTTTGCCACAGGTCCTCAATGGTGGGACCTATTAAAGTCATTTAACTTACAATGCTGAGATTCGTCTTCTACCAAGTCAGCAGGACACAAAAGAGCAATATGTTTTCCTTTTGCTACACTGCATCTTCACAGCCAAGATTCCAAACTCTGACTGGAACTTGCTTCCAAGTAGTGTCAACCATGGTTCTGCCAATTACTACTCCATCATTTTGATTTAGCCAACACATCAAAGGTTCAACTACACCTTGCTGGACTTATCCTTGATTATGAACAAAACAAGGCACTATTTTCTCTTGCATTGGTGGAATGGTAACCCCACATGGGTTCCAGGGACATTGTAGCTCTGACGAGATGAAGGTCCCAAAATTGAGAGACTCTGACGACATCAATGTTTATCTCAAGGCATTTGAGAACCTTGCCCACATGAATGGCTGGCTTGATGCACGGTGATTGGCGAGGTTGGTACCCGAATTAACTGGGAAAGCTAGAGAGGCATATGCCGCATTACCTGTAGATGAAGCAGTTGATTATCATGTCCTTAAGAAAGCCATTTTGGATAGATATGAGATGAAAGCCGAAACATATCGCACAAATTTCCGTCAGCGTGCGCGAAAGGGCACAGAAACTGTTCGCGACTGAGTCAGTGAACATTCCTATCAATTCACAAATTGGTTGAAGTTTGTTGAGATCGATAGTTCCAACCCATTAGAAATGATTGATCTCATGGTCATGGAACAGGCACTCAGCAAACTGCCTCATGACCTTAGATTCTGTCTTAGGGATAAAAAACCCTAAAACTTGCAAGGAATTAGCAGGCATGGCGGATGCCTATAGCTAACAGGGGAGGTTCAGAATACTGGCGTACAGCCAATTATCAAAAAGTACATTGCGATCTAGAAATCACCATTCTGGTCACAAGAGTGACTTTGAAAGTAGTAAGAAATCAAATTCAAGTGATCAATCAAGAATGACTTCAGTAAATGGCATAAAAGTTAGTGGTACTGATATTGATAGACCCAGTACCGACAAAAACAAAAGAGGTTATATGCAAGGGAGTAATGGTCGTGTGGGATCCAAGTATATTCCACTTAGTGAGAGGCAGTGCTGTCACTGTCATGAATATGGACATATAAGTCCTTTTTGCCCTTTAAGGTCACAGGCCAATCAGGGTAGTAGTAGTAGTAGTAGTAGTAGTAGT